CCCCAAAACCCCAAAACCCCAAAACCCCAAAACCCCAAAACCCCATTAAATTAAAATATTATTGAAGTAATACCTAGCATTGATGGCAATGAAAACCCAAATGGGAGGAATGAACCAAGGAATAGAGCTTCCTGGGGATTTCAGCAAGACGGTTCTTGAATATGAACTCAAATTATCAAAAAATGAGCTTTCTCAAGAACAACTTGGGAAGCTACTTGGCTACTACTCAATAGCTGTTTCTTACTATGACACAATGAATGATGCAGACACAACTCTATTTTATGAGCATAAGATAAAGAAGGCTCTTAAGTCAACAGCTGAGGCTGTAAGTCAGAAAAAGAAGCCAATTAGCAAGGCTAACAAATAAGCTTGCTCAGATGAAACTCCAGTTATACATCATGAATAAGGATAAAGGTAGGAACACTTTTATACTTCATTGTTGGGATGATTACTAAAGCAAAATTTCATACTTTTCCATAATTTTTATTAAATTCTTTACAGAAAAAGAGAAACAAAGAGAAGTCTTACCTGAATATAACCCAATTCAAAAACAAAGCAAGGCACTGGAGAACAGCCAGCGAGCGGTTGAAAGAGATTTTATCAAGCAAGAGGAGAATTTTAGAAAGAGACTAGCCATGCGGAAGAAAGGTAAACGTATCCTGGCTCAGCCTAACTGGGGCAACGAATCATCTATCAAAGTCAATTCACTTTCTAAGAATAATTTTAGTATTGAAAATTCAGTAGAACTTAATTCGAGCGATGTCAATTTTGGTAAGAATTTAGATCAAATCTTTAGAAAAGATGTCAAACTCAAGCATGAAAGATGAAATGTTAGGAATCATCACTACAATGACTCATATGAAGGCCTCAGACAGTCTAGACAAACTCAAAAGGGCAAGAACTTTGGAAGAAAAGCTGTCTAAACCGCTACAGAAAACCCTACAAGAGACTGTGGTTAAGAAAAAGTTAAATAGGTCGACCAGTTCGATACCCAAGAAATTAAATGAGAAAGGAAATCTTTCCGAAATCATTGAGTTTGAGGAAAACCAAGAAACCCACAGTATTGAATTAAAGGAGGAAAATGGACATATTTCTTAAATATTTCTGTGACCAGAACAGAATAATATTTAAACTAGCCACAGATTCCACCTTCTTTAGGGGCTTCCCTAAATGTGGCCGTGCCTTAATTTCTATGGGCTACATCTTTCTAATTCAGACCTTGTTTGGGATTACAGATATGGTAGATAATAGAAGTTCTCCAACCTTGTTGGTTTCAATATTTATGGAACTCCAAGGGGTTTTGGGGTTTTGGGGTTTTGGGGGTTTGGGG